ATGTTCACTAGACTGCAGGTTCATAAGAGAAGGGACTAGGCTTGCTTTATCTTTGTATCCTAGCTCTTAGCTCAGTAGGTAGTCAATAAATATTAATACAATTAACGAGTAAATGCTCACCCAGATATAAGAAGTATATGTAGGATAGAAGACATAATTTAGATTGCCAATATTAATGTATATGTATTTTCTTTCAACATCAATATTTAGGATCAACTCTGCTGTTATCAGAGATTCTCTTCTCTCTCAGTCTAGAATGGTATATTTTTTTCTCCTAGTAGTCTGAATTTGTGAGGTTTTATTATTATTCTAGACCGAAATATCTCACCATTTCAAACATAATGGAACTCCTTGTATAGGTTTATTCACCTGGTGGGAATTTGGGGTAGGCACTACAACAGGGATTATGTTGATGCCTGATTAGATTTAGTCCCTTATATTACAAGTTCCTTTAATGTAGCACTTGACCTTTGAAAATCTTTTGACTGTTAGGGGAAATGCTCAGGAATTAATTAGATTCAGACAGCTACAGAAAATTTAGTTGGACCCACTCTTCCTTTCTTCCTTCCTTCCTCCCTTCTTCTTTCCTTCCCTCATTTCTGATCCTTTATTCACTTCTTGTTGATTCTTTCATGCATTCTCTACAGTGCTGCATCTTCATCCTTCTTAAAAGTTCTTTACCACTTAAAATTACTGACCACTTCTTGCCTTTTGAAACCCTCCCTTTCCTTGTTTTCTCTGGTGCTATACAGTCCTGACTGTCTTCATTCTTGGTCAATTTTATTGAAATTGTTCTGAATATTGCTAAATATGCCTGACAACTCAGCCCAAGATGCTTACAGTCTGCCCACCATTCATGCTTTTTAAGACTTTAACTATTTCAGTTCTTCCTGGAAATCATCATCTCCACTTACGTATCTGTAAGAGTCTCTACCAGGATGTCCACTGCCACTGCCAATGGAACATGCCTGTGATGGAACTGCTCTCTCACCACACACTGACGCTCTTTGGGCTGCCCCTCCCACTGTAAGAGGCATATTATTTCCACAGTTATTCAGGCTTAGTTACACAGTTACTCAGAAGGGGGAAGGCATCTTGAATTCCTCATTCTTTCTGTTCCTTCAAATCCAGCAAGCCACAAGCTAGTAAGTTCCTCCTTAATAATGTCTGTTATATTTGCTCCTTGCATTCTATCCTATTGATGCCCCCAACATGCAGGTCTTCACTGTCCACTGGTAGCCTTGACCACTACAAGCGGCCTTCTAAATAAATGTCCGCACTTTCATCTCTCCCCACTGCAATCTCATATTAATCTTCTAAAAAAGACTTCTCTGTACCTATCAACTACTCATTCAAAAGTCTTTACAGCTACTTAATTCCCATAGAATCAAGGAGTCATTCCTTAGCCAGGTCAGAGTATTTCATACTCCATTTATTCCCAACCTTATTCTTTACCTTTCTCCAATAAAACCTCCCTTAGCTCACTGCTCTAGTCAATAGCCCTTGAATATGCTTCAACCTCTTAATCTCTTTCTGATTATCTAAGCCCTATTTTTTCTTCAGGGTCAGTTAAAGTCCTAATTCAAGTTCCAACTGATCATATTCAAAATAGATTTTTCCTTTTGCTGACACCTCTTGTATCCTGGATAATAATTTTTCATTTATTAATTCAACAAAACTTATTGGCCATGTTCATGTATCAAATACTGTGCTAGAAAGGGGGATACAAAGGTGGATAAACAATAGTTCCTGACTTGAGGAGTTTAGGATCTTGTCCAGTTTGACCAGTTAGAATATAAAATACTTGAGGTCAGAAATTGTCTTATTCCTCTTTGTATTTCTAGTACTTATCAGCATCTTTGACAAAATCCATATGCCATATGTATTTATTGCTGTTAACAGTAGTGATAAGAGACAATAAGACTTTCTTGTTTTAATAATAAGGAAACAAGTTAGGGGACAGAAAAATTTTACTTAATGTATTTTACATAATTTTATTAGAAATTCAAAGCTGCCATCTGTCCTTCTTTCTACTGGGTTTTAATATTGAAAAACTCCTTTAATCATAAAGCTGTATGTGCTTTAAAAATCCTTAAGGCTATTATTATTCAGATTCTTTTTTGGGATTTAAGGATGAAACTAAAACTTTTGGATCATTTGCAGAGTTAATTTAACTATTCATTAAGAAATTTTGTAACATACTCATGTACACATTCACACACTCTCATAAATACACATTCATAGATTACTGTACATGATCCAGAAAACTTATCTCAAACATTTTACTGAAATCTCACTAGTGCAGTTGGTAGACCTGGCAGAAAGCCAGGAGGGATAATAATAGTTAACTTTTATTAAGTGGATTATCTTGTATTATCCTCCTTAATCCTCAAAACAACTCCATTATGTATGCACCATCAGAATCCTTATTTTTCAGATGGGGAAACTGAGATATAGCAACATTTATAAACGTGACACAGTCAGTGAAAGAGCCTAGATTCAGAATCCAGGAACTCTGACTCCAGAGTCTTATGTTCTTAAGGACTATGCTATTATTTCTCCCATAGAGATGTAAATAATGGCTCAAAGTACCCCTGCACTGCCCCCCCCCAAAGTGTGGGGAAGCAAAGAGAGAAAGAAAGAAAAAAGGAAAGGAAGGAAGGAAGAAAGGAAAGAAAGAAAAGAAAGAAAGAAAAGGAGAATGGAACTGAAAGTAAAATAAGTAAGTTGTTCAGGATAATTAGGCATCCTAACACATTTCCAGAGCACTGGAAATTTCAACGGGTCTCCTTTTGCCCACTGAGACTTTCTGTCTCATGTCCTCTGTTTGGAAAAAAAGAGAGGAAAACAAGGTACGTGACAGGCTCATCATGAGCACACACAGCTGTCACCAGACCATTTTATTTCCTGAACGGTTACTCACAGTGGCTTCTGAGAAACAGGAGGTGCCACTATTCAGTACTTACGGCAATCCTAGGACAGAATTGCCAGTGCTAAATAGAAGGCTGGCATGTTTTAATTGCCCCCCCCCCAACCCTGCTGCCACAACTCACTCCTGTATACACTGGAGTGGCAGGTGGAGGTCAGAGACAACAATAAAGAAAGGTGGTTTGTGCACTTGGGGTGATACAGAGTCTTGGCTTCTGACGCAAAGGCAAAAACAAAAACAAAACAAAACACAACAAAAAATGTGGAAGAATTGGACAGAGAGGGGCACCAGAAGACTAGGCGCCTCATCCAAATAGGAACCAGATGCAACTTTAAAATATGTGCCTGTTTTTGGTGCTAGCATTTGTAATCTATGCCCATACTTACACTTCATAGTGTAATACTATTACCTCCTCCAAACACCTATAATTACAGTAGTAATTATACTCCTTTCACAGAGAGAAGTGCTTCTGATAATAACAAAACCAAAATCACTTCTGTTGAAAGCTGTAGATTTTCCTGATTCAAGCATGACTGCATTTATACTTATTTGTTGGAGACTGCTAACATTGTTAGAAGAAAATAAGTCAGAAAAAAAAGTAAAGTTACTTTAAGCCCTACGATCCTATGGTGGATTGTGCAGCAAGTCTTAAAGTGCAAATCAAAATGGCTCTGGCCTAAAGTTTATGAGTCCACAAGGTTTTAAGGTTAAGGAGAGTGTGTGTTTGCATCCTATGGATTGACAGAAACTAGTCCTAAAAATAATTAACGAGAACAATCAATGGACAAAACACAGCATCACAACAGAAATATTTTCTCAAATGATGGTTTTTGAAAAAGTATAGGAAAAATTCACATGATTGGTTAGTTCTCTGATTATCACTATTATCTTAATGCACTTTTAACTTTCATAATTAAAAAGAAAATTAAAGATATTGACATTTTTACCTTTGGTAGCCTTAGCCTTAATAAAAATAGAAATATGAATATGTTAAAAGTATATATTCAGATTTTGTGTATGTCCCTGAAAGGGGGTTTGCTTGCTGGCTTGCTCAATTTTTGACAAAGAAAAATGGGCTGCTCTTGCTTCTCGCACAAAGATGCACTGTTCACAGAGGACACCGAAAAACGGAGAATTTGTGTTTAAGTTGAAAAGAAATTAATATCCAACATGGTAATTTATTTAGTATAAACTTTCTATTAATTGATAAAATGTGTGGCTTATTAGAATTGAAAGCGTAGCTTTATAATAAGAACTTAAAATACTGATATCTGGAAAGTCTAATAGCAAGCAAGACATTCTAAATTTCATTTTCAGTACCCCATAATTAAAGATATTGTTCTGCTTTTTAAAAACTCAGTTTTACCCACACAATTGTATACCCTGAAGTTCAAAAAAAAGTGAGGCAAAGTATTTGTGAGTTTGAGCTGCCTCTGTTCTTTCCACAGGGCTGCCATCTGGGCTTGTTTATTTGTGTTTCCAACTTCTGGAACAGGGAGTTTCTCTGTTAGGGACAGGGCACCAAGTAAAGGAAATGTCTTACAGAAAGACTATCCTTTTTTTTCTTTTTTACTGTATTTTCAAACTTCAAGTTTAGCTTGGTTAAAAAAAAATCAAATGACTAGTACAATCACAAAATTTTACATAGTTGGAAACCTCAGAATTATCTTAGCAAATACTCTTCCACACGATGCAAATCATATTCCCTACATGCTACCTTCTTGTGACTTTCAGATCTTTTTTAAGACCCAAACTGTCATTAAGGCTATAGCCATTAGATTGGGAAATCAAATATTTTTATCTATCCTTCTACAAAGAAGTATTTGATTTAAAAATTAAAAACAATTGCATGCAGGTATTCTAATTTTATAAAGTATACATGAGTCTTATTATAAAAAATGAAGGGAACAAAACAAAACCTTTCAAAATATAATTAAGAAACAAAGAATTATTAGATTTATACAATCTGATTGTGAAGAATAGTTTAAAAATTCACAAGCAACACTTAAAAAAACTGGTGCCTTATCTTTGAGAGATTTCATTTAACAAATAAAATAGAAGCAAAAATTACCTTGTAAAGTAAAATCCAGCAATACATATTCGTAAGCAAATTCTGTCTTTGTTTCCACTTGCGGTCTCTTCAGGGTAGAAAATATTTTTCCAGGGCTGCTATCATCAGGGTCTTCTAGCTTTCTAAGTCCGCACCCCATGGCAAAATCTGTAAGGAATTAAATTGCACGATAGGGGAGGGAGAGCAGCAAATTCTGTTGTTTAAGCTGCAAAAAGAAAGTTACAGACTTAACTGCTTTGATTTTTTCAGCTAAACCATAGATAGTCAAAAAGAAAACATTTGAGTCCAGAGGAAGGAGCTGAAGACATTTTCTATCCATTTTTCTGTAAAGTCGTTGAACCCATGATGATTAAACTACAGCTCTGGGAGGCTGGGCTTGATCTTAGGAGAAACATGCAAGCTGCTACAACTTAGCGGAGAATTTCCATGCCACGTCAATTTACAGCCAGCCCCCTACCAGAGTTCTGTCGCTCAGGGCACCAACAGTGCTTTGTCTGTCCCAGTTGGCTGGATGATAAAGGAGGTGTCCAAAAACGGAAATAAAAAGGCAAAAGTGCAACTCGGATGGAATTATCTACAAGTAGAGGGTATATTCAGGCATATTGGCATGCAATTCTTTTTCTGTTTTCTTTTTTCCCTCTTTCCTGTGCCCACCCCCTCCTTCCTCTCTGCTACTACCAAAAAGCAAAAGGAGGGAGGAAGGGAGGGAGGAAGAGAAAGAATGAAAGAGAGAAGGAATGAAAAACAAAAAAAAGGATTCTCAACATGGTTGGAAACAAAAATCGTTTCCAGAAAGGAAGTCAGCTTTAGAAGGAAACTGTTTCTGGAGTCTATAAGGAGAAAAGTAAAGTTTTTTTGTTGTTGTTGTTGGTTTTTTTTTTAACAAACACTTTAGTCTTTAGGTAGCACTTTTGAGGATTTCTTTCCACAGGAAGATTCTTTTCATATACTACTCATATACTAATTAAAACTGCCAAATACAAAAAATTTATATTAAGATATTTTAGGGGTACCTGGGTGGCTCAGTCAGTTGAGCATCTAACTTTGGCTCTGGTCACAATCTCATGGCTCATTGGTTCGAGCCCCACATGGGGCTCTGCGCTGACAGCAAGCTCAGAGCCTGGAGCCTGCTTCAGATTCTGTATCTCCCTCTCTCTCTGCCCCTCCCCCACTTATGCTCTGTCTGTCTCTCTCAAAAATAAATAAACATTAAATAAAGTTATTTTAGGGGCACCTGGGTGGCTCAGCCCGTTAAGCGTTGGACTTCGGCTCAGGTCATGATTTCACCGTTAGTGGGTTCGAGGCGGGCATCAGGCTTTGTGCTGACAGCTAGCTTAGAGCCTGGAGCCTGCTTCAGATTCTGTATCTTCCTCTCTCTCCGACCCTCCCCTGCTCATATTGTCTCTCTCTCTCTCTTTAAATAAAACATTTGAAAAAATTTTAAAAAGATATTTTAATGAAACGATTTTATTTCTCTTATGTGGATAACAGCCTTGAAGTTTAAAGTACTCCACTTCAGCAGGCTTATGAGAGGAACTCTTAACACTTTTACAGATCCTAAAGTATCCTTAATTAAAAAAGAAAAGCAACAAAACTGACAACTTGATTATTCAGTTTTATAAATTTCCGTTTACCTGAAGTCAGAAACAATTTATAATGGAGCAGTTGTAATGAGTGCTCATTGCATTTTACCATATACAGCTCAGGTAGTATGGTGCATTCACCAAAGCTGTGAGCCCTGGAATCACACTACTTGGCTTCAAATCCTGCTTCTAATGCCTACTACCGATGTGATCTTGGCAAGTTACTCAATCTCTTCAAGTTTCAGTTTCCTCCCCTAACAAAATGCAGTTAATAATAGTACTTACTTCATAGGCTTGTTATGAAGGTTGAATGGGATAATCTTATTTCATATCTTAACACTACGCTCGTCTAATAGGACAAAATAAATTTGTTAATGTGCTTCCATTATAAAACAGGGTTGAGAATAGTAATAGTGAGGAAGTGATTCAACCACAAGTCCCATTATTTACAGAATAGACCTGATCACCTATCAGACTCTAGAGAACACAAGCCTGTAAAGGCTTTTCAATCACACTGAAGAGTGCATACGAAGACCCTCAAAGGGGGATGGATTAGTTTGTAGATCACTACAACCTCTTGTCTCTATAGTCTGCCTACTTGTCTTTAAATAGTCACTTCTCAAAAGTGACTTTAGCAGATAAAAATTCTACAGTTCTTCATTCTCATGGATGAACATGGTTGGTGGTAAGCAATTTCAACTTGGCTAAAAAGACAGCAGACTCTCACCCAGTATGACTCATTTGACTAGTCACAGTGCTTTCATGCCTGTCATTTTTCATGTCCTCTTTTGTATGGTGCATTGTGAGTTCCTGGGTGGCAGAAATGGAATATATGAAGTTCACTAGTCCCTGTTGCAGTACCTGGAAGATGGCTTATTAAGTACTCATTATATTTACTAAATGCCTGCTATATTCCAGGAGCTGGCTAGGTACATGACTAAATATGGCTTCTTCCCTAAAGTAATTTATGGTTTAGTGGAGAAGACAGACTTATAAACAGATAATTTCAATATGATATGGTAGCTGATGAGAGAGAAATATGCATAGGATGCTACAGAAACCCAAGAAGGGGCCCCTAACTCAGCTTGGAGGATGATATCTGAGCTGTCTTGAAGGATGAATATGCATAAGATAGATAAAGATGGGGAGCATGTGCCCGGGGAAAGGGAAAAGCTTGAGGAATGTCACAAAAATCATGAAACAGTATGGCTTGAACTTTAAAGAACATGAAGCAGTTGCAAATTACTAGAACATAAAATTTGAAAGACAACTAAGTTGTAAGAGAGGCAAGAGCTAAGTTGTAATGGGTCTTATATCCTATACGAAGGGAATTTGGACTTTATTTTGTAGGCAACAAAGGAGAATTAAATAATCAAGTGGAGAATCAAAGGAGTAGTTTGAAGCAGGCAACATCACTTTGTATTTCTGATGTCTCACTATGGCTGTTTTGAGGAAAATGGTTTTAATGGGAGCAAGAATGGAGGGAGACCCAGTCAGGAGAGTATTGCAGTAGTTCAGCTGAGTGCTGACGATTTAAATGAATAAATATGGGACATTATTATGTTCTTAAATACTTTTTTTTTAAATCTTTTATAAATCTTTAGTAAAAAAAAAAAAAAAAACAACCCTACAGTTCCTTTAGTCCATTACTGAGCAGCCACTATTCTTTTTTTCTCCAAAAGTTGAACAAAATAAAATACTATTTGACACATCATTATCACCTAGAGTCCATAGTTTGCATCACAGTTCACTCTTGGTGTTGTATATTGATGGGTTTTGACAAATATATGACATGGATCCACTGTTACAGTTATATACAGAATAGTTTCACTGTCCTAAAAATCTGTGCTCCTCCTATTCATTCCATCCTTGCTTCTTATTTAACTCTGATGAATCTGGCAATTGTAATATAAAAGGTAAAATATGGATCAAAGTCATTTTCTCTCACACTGACATCCAATTGTCACAACTATATTTGTTTTCATAGATAATTTTTTTTTAACAATCATGTTTCCCCAGGCTTATCATATACTGAGTAACTATAGTAATTAGAACAAATATTTGGAATAAATGTTTTCTATATTGGTCATTTTTTCTGTATGGAATTATATGTTTGCTGACAATTCTAGATTTTAGGGACAGCTTTCAGTTCTGTATTGCAAATAGGGTTTCTCCAAGTACAGACTGTTATGTGGCTATATATGATGTAGATATATTAACAATTCTTGTCTATATTCTAGAATGGGCTCACTTAGTCCTTGAATGAATGAGTGAACCTTGTAAAAATATTCTCCATTACTGGTAGCAAATTATCCTCATGGTTACTGTGCAAGTTTGGATCACCTAAGTTCACTACAGTCTTAAACCTTCTAAGAGATAATTACATATTATCCAATCCACGCCCTATAAAATTTTTGCATAATAGTAACTTATAAATACAATATATTTTATGTGGCTCTGATCCAAAGAAGCAAATTCAACAATAATTCAACAAGTTTTTATGGAGCACTGACTACATATGTAGGGCACACGTGGATGCAAAGATAAAAAAGCCAGTTGATGTTCTCTAGAGTTCACGAGCTGGCAGGCCAACATTAAGTTTTAACCTAATGCACTGCTAGTTTCATAATGTAGTCAGATTTCCTAAGTAATTAATGACTTATTGAAAGCACTACTTATTTAAAAAAGTATTTTTTTTTAAAGGTTTTTAATGCTTATTTTTGAGAGAGAAAAAGAGAGGGAGGGGCAGAGAGAGGCAAAGAGAATCCCAAGCAGATTCCATGCTGTCAGTACAGAGCCTGATGTGGGGCTTGAACTCACAAACTGTGAGACTGTGACTTTAGCTGAGATTAAGAGTCAGACACCTAACTGACTGAGCCACCCAGGCACCCTGAAAAAAGTCTTTCTTTAATGATTAGAAATGCCACAATCACATACTTAATCATTGTATAGACTAAGATCTTATTTTTACTTTTTATTTTTTCAATAGTCTGACTTCTCTATATTACATATTTAATTTTTTAATGGCTCTATAATATTTCACTGTCCAGCAGTTCACAATATTATTCTTTTAAAAAAATATTGACTATTCTTAACTTTTTACTCTTCTAGATAAGAAGTTGTCAAACTACATGTGGCAGAGCCGCTCTGGTTCCGAAGAGGTGTCGGTTTTGGAGGAAAAGGGGCTTTGATCATGAGGCGAGGTCAAGCAGGCAGAGCTCTGGGCCCACCACACCACTCTTTCTTCAAACAGAATAGCATAGATTTTGTCAATTTCATATACCAGTAACAAACAATTAAACCCCCATAATTTTCAGAAAAGGAAAACATTTACATTATCAATAAACTATGTAGTTTCTAGGGATAAATCTACTGAATATAAGCCATAATTATATATGTAAAATTATGCAAATTTACTGAACAGTATGAAAGGAGTGACAAGTAAATGGAGAGATATACATAGTCACTTTTAGGAACACTTAATATTGTAATCATATCTCTAGCTAGCCCTATAGAGTTAATGCAATGGTGACCTTAACCCTAACTGTTTTTTTGCATGGAATCTCTCAAGTTGATTTAACTTGATTTGAGTTTTTAAAGTTTATTTATTTATCTTGAGGGGGGCTAGGCAGAGAGAGAGGGAGAGAATCCCGAACAGGCTCTGCACTGTCAGCACACAGCCCAATGTGGGGCTCGATCACATGGTTTGTAAGCCTCTTGACCTGAGCCAAAATCAAGACTGACTGAGCCACTCAGGCATTCCTCAAGTTGATTTTAATATATATGTGGAAGACAAAAAGACCAAGAATGTCTAAGATACTTTTGAAGAAGAATAAGGAGATATAAAAACTATATATTAAGACTTATTATAAAGCTATAGTAATTAAATGTTTTCAGCAAGGCATAGACAAATTAACCAATACAACAGAATAAAAAGCCCAGAAACAGAAGCCTGTATATGTGGAAATTTAATATATGAAGGAATTGGCATGGCAGAGCAGTGGAGAAAATGGAGCTGGGACAATTGATTATATGGGGATGAAATTGGATCCCCACTTCATATTGTATATAAAAATGTCAATATTACATGAAGAATTTGAACATCAAAAGAAAACTTTACATTTTTATATGAAAATATGGATAAATAATTCTGATAAGATAAGCAGAAAATAATCATGATTAATCATAAAATAACAATCATAAGATAAAATTTCATAAATCCTACTATATTAAAATTAAGAACTTCTATTAAGTTTTAATGTGAAAGGACAAGATACAATTTGGCAGATGATATTTGTAAAATATCAGCCAATAAAGGAACAATATCAAGAATATATAAAAACCTCCTGAAAATAAAAAAACAAGCCAATAGACAAACAGACACAAAATATAAATAGGCACCTCACAGTCAAAGAAATATATATGGTTAATAAACACACACAGAGATGCTTAACTTCACTTCTATTTAGGAAATTGTAAATTAAGACCACAGTGAGATAACATTGTATTGTGGTAAAATACACATAAAATTGATCATTTTAACCATTTTAAAGTATACAATTCAGTGGCATTAAGTACACTGACAATATTGTATGATGATCCTATCTAGCTCTAGATTTCTTTCATCACTCCATGAGGGAAATCCATAGCCTTGAAGCATTCATTCTCCATTCCAATTTTCCCCTAGCTCCTGGCAACCACTCATCTCCTTTCTATCTCCATGCATTTGTCTATTCTGGATAGTTCATATAAATGGAATCTACAATATGTAGTTTTTGTGTCTGGTTTCTTTCATTTACCATAATGTTTTAAAGGTTTACTTATGTGATAGCATGTATCAGTACTTCATTCTTATTTATGGCTGAATAATATTCCATTGTATGGATATGCCATATTTGTTTATCCATTCATTAGATAACAGGCATTTGGGGCATTTCTATCTTTTGGCTATTGGGAATAATGTTTCTATGAACATTAGTGAGATAATGTTTTATACTTATTTAACTGGCAAAAAATTAAGAAGTAGCTAATAACAAATATTGGAGAGACCTCTTTAATTGTATGCTGCTGATGGGGATGTAAATTTGTTTAACCAGGTTGACAAACAACATGACATTGCCTTGTGAAATTGAACTTTCATATACTGTATGATCAGCAATACTACTCCTACATATATACTTAGAGAAATTTTAGAATGTAAGTACCACAAGATTTATACAAGAAAGTTGATAGTAGTACTATTCCTCAGAGCAAACAACTTGAACCACTCAGATGTGTATCAACAGGCATTTCTTTCAAAGAGTCTCCTATAAAGGGAAGGAAAGTAATGGAGGAGTAGTGGGGGTTGAGAGTTTTTTTCTGATTAAAACAGGAGAAAAAATTGCATATTTGTATGCTAAAGAATTAATTCCATGAAAAAGGTGTGGGGTGGAGAGTTACTAGAAAAATTGATTTCTCAGGCATTTAGTCTGAATTTACCTCCTAGTTCTGGAGGGTGATGTATATACCCTCCAGTTCTAGGTTTTACCTATTCTTCACTTTCCCTTCTTAAACTCCTGGATCAGATAGAGCATATCAACTAAGTACTCAAAGAATATTTGTTGTACCCACTGTAACATCTATAGAGAATTTGATCCACTTTCCATATCACCACAAAAATCAGATCCAATTTACCACATGCCTCCATTCGTAAATTATTATTTAGCAACCAAAATGAAGTAACTAGAATTACAGAAAGAAATATGGGTGTATCTTAGTAACAAAATGAGTGAAAATGGCCAGTTGATGAAAAAAGACCACATGTAGTATGATATCCTTTTTTAGACTGTTTAAATACAATTAAAATTAAGTTATGATAACATTAAAGGAAAAGTACAGAATTTAGGACAATGATCACCTCTGGGAGAAAAACAAGGAGAAAAGAAGCACACAGATCTAAATCATCGGTAATATACTAGTTCAGTGGTTCTCAAACTTGAATGTTCATTAGAATTACCTGGAGAGCTTATTAAAACCTAGATTGCTGGTTTCCACCCCCAGAATAGGTGGAGGAGGGTGAATGTGGGGGCATAAAACATGCATTTCTAACAAGGTCGCAGGTGCTGCTAATGCTGTTCTTCTGGGACCACACATAGAGAACCATCTCTAGGTCTCAGACTGGGTTGTGGGTTCACTAGTGTTGCACTGCATTTGTTTTGAAATGAATATAGTTTAAAATTATATTCATATATATGAACATATATAACATATATATTTAAATTAGAGAGAGAGAGAGAGAAAGGATAGTCATAGACCAAAAATTAAAGTGTTTCACGAAGCAAGGATTAATATTAATCCAATTCTGGGCTCCAGAGGCATTCACCCCAAAAGAGGTAGAGTTCCATTACTAAAAGCAAACTTGCAAAACACTGCTCTACAAGTGTTGCTAACTACTTTGAGAAATAAAGTTGAAGGTTGATTCTTATCAGTGACAACAGCCTGCATTTCACCTCTCCGATCTCAACAATCTTTGGCACATAAGAAATCTACCTCCTTGGTTGGTTCAACAAAAATTGTTTAGAGAAAACATTCCCCTTACTTTGCGTGTTATTCTTCCCTCAAGTTCTCTAGGTAATTATTTTTCTTACTTTATACTTCCGCCTTCCGGATTTATGGTGTCTGCTAGGTTCTGAGATGGAATTTAGAGATTTCAGATCTCTACATTGACCAAGGCATACTGTGTCCAGTAACGTGCCAGCCACTGACTGGGGTTTGAGAAATGGCTGAACATAAAATTCTTGCCTCACAAGCAAGTCAGCCTAGAGAGGAAAAAAGATACACAAATATAAAATTACAACCCAAAGCAAGGCGTACAGGACGTTAGAGAAAGATTTATCTGCTTTCAGATCCTCTTTTAAATCCAGCTCCTCTAAGCTTTCTCGCGCGCTCCACTTAATCAGCCCCAACGTCCAACGCGGGCGCAGACAGGCAGCGCGCGCCGGGCGGCAGAGGGCGGGCGTTGCAGGCCCCACCTCATTGGCTTTCTGGCCGGCCGGAAGCGGCGGTGCGCTTCGGCTGCGCATGCGCCCCTCACACGTGCTTCCAGAACGCCCCCCTCCGCGGCTGCGGCCCGGCCCGGCCGGCATCATGGTGCATGTTTCTGTCCTGCGGATGCTAGGACGGCCGGTGACGAGAGTCGCCGCGCTCCTGGAGTACTCTAGACCACGCCAATACAGCTCGGGCCCTTTCCGTGCCCGCGACGATGCCCGCGACGCGCGCGCTTTCTTCACGACACCCATTTTCTACGTGAACGCGGCGCCGCACATCGGGCACCTGTACTCGGCGCTACTGGCGGACGCCTTGTGCCGCCACCGTCGCCTCCGAGTTCCCAGTGCCGCCGCCACGCGATTCTCCACTGGTACCGACGAGCATGGCCTTAAGATTCAGCAAGCAGCAGCCGCTGCGGGCCTGGCCCCTACCGAGCTGTGCGACCGAGTCTCTGCCCAGTTCCAGCAGCTTTTTAGGGATGCTGGAATCTCCTCTACCGACTTCATCCGTACCACCGAAGCCCGGCACCGGATCGCTGTGCAGCATTTCTGGGGATTGCTGAAGGCCCGAGGTCTGCTCTACAAGGGACTCTATGAAGGTTGGTATTGCGCCTCCGAAGAGTGCTTCCTGCCGGAGGCCAAGGTCACCCGGCAGCCGGGTTCCTCGGGGGATTCGTGTCCTGTGTCTTTAGAGAGTGGGCATCCCGTAGCCTGGACCAAGGAAGAAAACTACATTTTCAGGCTTTCTCAGTTCCGAGAGCCGCTTCAGCAGTGGCTGCGGGGCGACCCTCAGGCAATCACTCCTGAGCCATTTCATCACGCAGTTCTTCAGTGGCTGGAGGAGGAGCTGCCGGACCTGTCTGTTTCTCGAAGGAGCAGCCACTTGCATTGGGGCATTCCTGTGCCCGGGGACGATTCGCAGACCATTTACGTATGGCTGGATGCCTTGGTCAACTACCTTACTGTAATTGGCTACCCAAATGCTGAGTTCAAATCTTGGTGGCCAACCACCTCTCATATCATAGGCAAGGACATTCTCAAATTCCATGCTATCTATTGGCCTGCCCTCCTCTTAGGGGCCGGCATGAGCCCACCACACCGCATCTATGTCCATTCACACTGGACGGTTTGTGGCCAAAAGATGTCTAAAAGCTTGGGCAACGTGGTAGATCCCAGGACTTGCCTCGATCGCTATACTGTGGATGGATTCCGATACTTTCTTCTTCGGCAGGGCGTCCCCAACTGGGACTGTGATTACTATGATGAAAAGGTGGTTAAGTTGCTAGATTCTGAGCTGGCAGATGCTTTGGGAGGTCTTTTGAACCGGTGTACTGCCAGTAGAATAAATCCTTCTGGGACCTATCCAGTTTTCTGCACTACCTGCTTTCCTAGTGAGCCAGGGTTGGTGGGGCCATCAGTTCGTGCTCAGGCAGAGGACTATGCTTTGGTGAATGCAGTGGCCACTCTGCCCAAGCAGGTAGCCGACCACTATGATAACTTTCAGATCTATAAAGCTCTGGAGGCAGTGTCCAGCTGTGTCCGGCAAACTAATGGCTTTGTCCAAAGGCATGCACCATGGAAGTTGAACTGGGAGAGCCCAGTGGATGCCCCCTGGCTGGGTACTGTGCTTCATGTAGCCTTGGAATGTTTGCGAGTCTTTGGAACTTTGCTGCAGCCTGTTACCCCAAGCCTAGCTGATAAGCTGCTATCCAGGTTGGGGGTCTCTGCCACAGAGAGGGGCCTTGGAGAGCTCTGTTTCTTGCCTCGATTCTATGGACATCCATGTCCTTTTGAGGGGAGGAGGCTGGGACCTGAAACTGGGCTCTTGTTTCCAAGACTAGACCAATCTAGAGCCTGGCTGGTAAAAGCCCACAGGACCTAGAGACTTAGTTTTTAAATGGGCTTGTGGTAAAAAAGTAAATGTGTTATTTTCTTATTTTGCGTTTTTAGGAAAATTAATGTTTTCTAAAGTGTTGCATTATATGAACACATAAACATTGTCACTGTGATAAGAGGTTTGTAGCCTTTCAGGTGCCTACCCTCTAGTCTTTAGTTCTCTGTGCCTGTTAACCACTATCCTTTGCACACCAGTGTCTCTAAGATGTCTCCAGGGTGAAAGATGGTAGAGAGACAAGACAGCTTTGCTGATACTATTCCCATTGTGCCTCCTTCCAAATCACAGTTCATGTTACTTGCCCAGACTACCTCTTATGGCTAGTTTTTCATTGGCCTGGCCTCTGCTGGGCGAATTATCGAAGATTGGGGGTTGGAGGCCCCCTACCTCAGCTTTTACATGGTTGTCCTTCTTTGTTATATATGTTGGGTTTCCTATTGAAATAGGTTTCTTTATTAAACCTTTAAAAACTAGTGTCCTAGACAAGATGGTTTTGGCCCATGTTTATATTTTAAATTCTTACAACTATGACTCCCTACCTACTCTTTTAATAGTCTGAATAGCTGTGCTTTGTAACATTACACTTCAACCAGTAGATGGCTCTACGGTTTCACATATTTAATTACTTAACATTGACATTTCAGAATATTTAGAATAAATTTGTTTTCTGCTAATTTTGCAGAATTTAAAAATTTTATTGCTTTTCTTAAGGGAAAACTGTAACCACTGCTGTTTTACATAAAGCAATAAAAAAGATCAGAATCCTGTTTTTTCAAACTACTATAAAGGACATTTACTGTATTAAATGTTTAGTAAGCTAATAAGTAAATGTATCATATGTGTTTGGTCTATGATAAATTATAAAGTTCTTGAGTTAGTTGGTTATGTTAAAATTGTTAAACTTTAATAACATGTTTACAGGTATGATTTAAGAAATCTGTAAAACAGTTCAAAATGGCTATATTTTAATTTCTAAATCATAATTTTGTTACCACATAATTTACCTTATGTGATTTCTTTTGGTAAATCAGAATCTATAACACAATATAGACATTGTGGAATAGTTATAAATGTTAATATATTTACTTTACATTTTACTGATTATTTCTTTTGCTCTCTTAAGTTATTAAACTTGAAAAGTTTGTGAGTACCTTATTCAGATCTGTTCTGTTGAATTTGTTGAAGGTGATGGTGAAGGAAGGAAATGATCAGTGCTCCAGGAATCTCAAACTGGATTTAGGGATCTCTTCAAGGCTCCATAAGAGAATATCACAGAGAAGATGTTAAGGTATCAATTTATTCAATGACGACAACACATTTAAGCCAGCATTATATCTCATAGGTGATTGGACAGCTAGGCCAAAGTTTAAAAGGAGAACTTGCCTTGAAATATCCATTATAAGCATGGTAGCAAGCAGAGAGGGCTCACTGTAAAGTAAGCTACTGTACTGAAAGTCCCCCCAGATTCATTCTAGGTGCTACTGTTCAGCTCCAGTTTCTGTTTATTAATCAATATGGTGAGAGATTTCTGGTTGCTTGGAAACATTGCTTACTTAGAAAAGAATGCTTGAAGGCATTCTAAAGGTGGAAGGACCGTTTCTACAAATGTTCCTTCAGACCCTCCTCTTCATACTGGAGTCCTGGGCTTTCCACATGACTTGGTCTATCTATTTGCTGGGATTAGTAGGGCAGATTACTGGGGTGTATGAGGGACTATAGTCTCTCCTAGGGCTGGATAGAGCAGAGTTAAAAGAAATGAGATGTGTTTATATGAATGAACAAAAACAGAGTTGGATAGCCAGTGGTATGATAACGTCTGCTGTTGAAGTGCCTTGATAGCAACTTTACTGTTCCTATTATGAAAGGACATTCACTTCCACTTGAATGATCTTTCCTATAGCCTAGTGCTAGTAAATATGCTGGATCTTGGCTTGTTGGGTGTTCATAGTGGAGTTCCTTTTGTGCAGCTTGTCATTTGTAGAGGCACATAACTAACTGGCTACTAGAATATTTATGGTACCAAAGGGCACAAGAAAATAGAGGAACCAAAGAGGAGAGGGCATAATTAACACAGGATACTTTGAGTGAAGAAGTGGGGATCTGAGTTACTCTGGTAATAAGGAAGATGAACCAGTTGGGATTCTCTGTCAGGGGCAAGATAGGTAAAACAAGTATCCTTTGGGTACTTAGTTGATGTGTTCAGTTTGATCCAACAGTTTAGGAATGGCAAGTGGAGGAAAGGTGAAACTTAAAACTGAAGAGAGGGCATCTAATGGATTCCTTGACAGAACAGAGGTTTCTCCCAAACTACTATCTTGAGGCTCTTAAATTCATTTTGGGGTATTCTTGGTGGCAGAGTTGCAGAAGGTGATAGACCAGCTGTTCACAGCATACCATGTTAAAATAATAACAACTGTCAACTCAGTAGGCTACAGTCCTATCAGTGAAGTCATGCAAGAAGTTGTGGTCAGTGTATATATTAGGTGCATCACTATATATTGGAGAGCCATTCTACAGGTGAACTTAGAACTTAGGCACCTCAGAAGTCATAAGACCTATGGCTGGCAATATATGGAGATCAACAATAAGCAGGAACAACAAATAGATATAATCTCTGATTTCACTGATATCTCAAAGTTATTCTGGAAGTAGGCCTCATTATTTTTCTTATCGACCTGTATGACCCATACAGGGGCTGAGAAGAGCCTGATAAGTTGAATATTAAGTTGATGCAAAAGTACTCATGAAGGCCTGGGCTGGAATATGGGCCTAAGGCAGAAGTCCTTTGTTTCATAGTTGTACCTGTGGTTGACACATAGCTCTTTATTTTTAATTTTTTTAATTTTTAAGTAAGCTCTACAACCAATGTGGGGCTTAAACTTTAAAGCCCAAGATCAAGAGTTGTGTGGTCTGACTAAGCCAGCTAGGCACCGCAGGAAATAGCTCTAGATCTGGGAAGTTCCAAAACTGAAGTAAAGCCAGTGGTTGGTTAGGCTGGTTGGGCCTCCAACTAGGATGCCTTATGATCACGATGTAGCTTGGGTAGCAAGTGGCAGTATGAAGCATTTAGCAGATTACTCCTTGGGCATTATGGTATCGGTGGTTTCTTAGATCTCTGACTGCCCCACCCCTGGTAAGTATGTAGTTGCATTGTTGGCCAAGTTAATGTAACCTGGAGTTATGGGGTAGGCCATGCCTCTTGACTAAGACTTGGTCCATAAAGCTGCTATATGATGACCTAAAATTGTCTCCTGGAGGCAATTCCCCACTATCCATAGTTCTATCAAATATAGAACTGTTCCAGTTGGTGAGGTCTAGGTTGCTGTTAACCTTGGTGGGTCCTTGCCTTCATCCTTTGCCTGAGTGAATAATGAATAACATCAGTGGACCTAAAAGGGTGTGGACATATTGACAGCCATATGTCTATTTTTGCAGCACAGGTTTACTAGTTCTGAGAGCTTGAAGGGAGCTTGGGCATAGATTTGGGTAATCAAGAGCACAAGTTAGGGGAATCAGTCTTAGAAGACGACTTTGAGTCCCTTGCAAAATGAAAACAGTATGAAATATGTCATTTCAACACAACACAGCTGGTCCTGACACCACTTCTTACAGGAAGGAGCTTTATGTAGCATCGGTTATCTTTTATCAATAGGAACACACCAAATTTGGAGGGTAATATTGCTAGAAGGGCCAAACCATAACCAAGCTCATTAAGGTCAATTAGTAGGGATTTTAACCTTCTGAGAGAATGTCTTATTCTTTTTTGAGACAGGATAAGAGAAGCCCAGCCCAAGCTACTTTCCTCTGTCACCAAGAACGACTTTGAGCTGAGAGGAAAGGACTAACCAATTTAAGGGGAAATTGCTTGCTTTCTCTTAGTTTTTTGGTAGTCCTGGGTTACTTAGTATAGATCTTCTGAATTATGGGAACCACCTAACAGGGAATAGTTGACCATATTTAAAATACCCTGCTTAAGATTATATCATATTAATCAGTTTCTACTTACATTTTCATGATGAGGAAAGGGACTTGGGAAGAGCTATGGCACTGACAACTAGAAATTGTGTCTACTGTGTCTGTTCATGAATAGCTATTGGGAGTTTTAGTCATACTTGGATCTTCAAAGTAAGGTGAGGCTAAGTACGGAAGTTCCATCCTTGGCTATTAACTGAATTTCACCCCCATTTGGTTTATGGCACAGACTACTCACCATAGATTTTAAGTCCACAGCTCTTCACTTAAGAATCGGAAGGTATGAGATCTCAGGATGTTTCAGGAAACCAAGTGTACCATCTGCAAGAAGAAAATTATAGCTCCAAGGAGAGATGAGTCCTGCCTTCAAGTCATGAAGGACTTTTTTGGATGAAACATCTGCAGAGGGCATGGAGGACTCACTGGGTAAGCTGGAGGGACGGTTCTAGGAATAACTGGAAATGGATGATGTACCTTTCCTAGTATATGGAAAAAATGGTATATCCTCCCTATGCTACCATTCCTAACGCCATTCATGCCTTGTGCATGTATCCCTCCTTAGTTGACAGACATTGGTTTGTGGGATTTAACGTGAAGATGTACTTTCAAAAACTACTTTATGACTGACTTATAGATTAGAATTTCTGTTTTCTTAATTCAATACATTCAATAAAAACATGACCAATTGCACACTTTTTCTCAAAATATTTTAAAAAATGTAATAACTTTTATGTTGGAAAACATTAAGATAGTTTTAATAATTTGGCTTCCTTTGAGCTAGTCTAGAGGAGTCTGTTGGTTAAAAAGCTATAGATATTAAAAGTATAAAGTTAATAAGCATGTTACACTCTTTAGGTTAAATCAGTACAATAATACAAATAGAATGTATTTCTTTCAAACCAGATGAAAAGAAATGTTAAAGAAAATTCAATCCAAAAGAAGACAGGAAGGAAAAAGAAGGGCAAAGAAAATGAAAAAGATGGTAAAAGAAAACCCATAATAAGATAGAAATGATTTTAATTACAAATATTTCAGAATTGTAGTGAACATCAAAGGATGAACCTTCTGTAAAAGGACAGCAATGTTCATGCTTAAATTAAAAAGTAAACATTAACAACTCAGGCAACAAAAGATGTTGGCGAGGACACGAAGAAAGAGGATCTCTTTTGCACTGCTGGTAGGAATGCAAACTGGTGCAGCCACTCTGGAAAACGGATTGGAGGTTCCTCAAAAAATTAAAAACAACTGCCCTATAACCCAGCAATTGCACTACTAGGTATTTGTCCAAGGGATACTGATCTGGTGTTTTGAAGGGACACATTCACCCCAATGTTTATAGCAGCACTATCAACAGAAGTGTTCCAGATTCTTGAATCCTATAGTTCTCTAAATAAAAGTATGCTATCATAAATTTATGAATCTAAGCATTTTGAAGTAACATTTACAAATACTTTACATAACACATTTATCTCTAAGCATGAAAACATATCAATATTCAAAAGCTTTATTTGATTTGACTATTATAATAATAACAAAGCCAGATAATTTTATTAGAGCTCACAAACACTGAAACTTTTTCATTTCATACATACATTTTAATATAAATGAACTTATGAAAAGACTCATCTATTTACTAACAATTTAAGTTCTATAAATTTGCTGAACATTTATTATTGTATTGTTACATCCTTCCTAACAAGCCTGCAGAAATCAGATTAAGTGTCCTCTGACTCTAGTTATTACCAAAGTAAGTCCCACCCTGTTAACTAAAATGCTGCATATTGAATATTTCCGGGTAAACTATCTCCTACATGACAGTCAAGACATGTTCTAACTCCCCCTAATTAGAGATATTGTTATGAACTGCACAAAATGTCATATTTTAGATATTTAAGAAACGTAGCTACTATGTTGGACATGGGCTATACCTTGAAGAAGTGTGATGAAACCTGTATTTATATAGGTCTCTAAGCTATCATCTAAATTGTATTTTTAAAAATGTATAAAAAAGTATTAAAGGCCTTGCTAGCTTGGAAGCTGAACACCTACATATTTATTCTATGTTTTGAATAATTTCTTCAAACTATGTTTAAATTCAGGTTACAAAGTCCCAAGTTAACAAGGCATGATGGGTACTTCTGTAGTATTTTTTGCATGGTAGATTATGACTTGTTAATATAATCAGACTGGTACATTATAAAAGATATCCTATATTGCATTTTTCAGATTACCCTTAAAAATCGCTTACTAAAGCAATTTATAAAGGCTTTCATAAAGCAAAGAATCTTCAATCCTGGTAAACTGAATTTATTGCATTGGCTTTTTATATTTAAATTTCTGTAAAACTTACTTTATGGAAACTCCCTACATTTTTAAAAAGCAAACCTTTTATTCCTGAGTTCAGTTTCATTTAATAATTCACTACTGGAATGTAATTAAATAAATCAAGTAACAATGTGTAAAAAGCTTATTTTGGTATTATAGAAGAAAACCATAAGCACTAAAATGAATTACTGAAAATATGTATGGTTCATTGTGTGAAAACTGGTGGTTGCATTTTTATACCATTTTAAAATATGGAAGGAATATTTTTTGCTGAATATAAAGGAAACAATTTTTATGTTCATTATGATACTGTCTGACATAGTATTAAAAAGTAATTGTTAGTTAATAATCCTCAAACTAGAAAGATTTTTTAAAATTTAAATGTTGTCCACATAAAAATCAGCCTCTAGAAGGTAGTTAATTCATAACGAATTTTAAATAAAACATTTGGATGTAGCTGATATAATAAAATTAGTTTTCTAGCCTAAGGAGAATGTATAGGACTTCTTCATTTTTCCATAATTTATGGAGACCAACTTAAAGTAGAGCAATCCATTCAGGTGCACAAAAACCGATATAAATGTATAACTGTGTGTAATGTAAAAATTAGGAAATCAACCTGATCTTAGTAAAGCAAAGGAAAAATAGTGAAACTTAACTGCTTAACATTGAGAGTAATGAGAAGGGGACTAGCCAAGGTCAACCAAGTTATCAAAACCCATCATTGGTAAGTCTGTAGAGGTAGTTGATTTAAATATTCAACATGTGAAGGTAGGTTAAGTTTGAGCTCAAGAGTTTTAAACAAGTCATTCTCTAAAGATAGACACAGTTAGGGTACAGGCATAAAAATCTAACTGGTAAACATAGGATTTTTGCTTAATTTATTTTCATTTTTCCTTTAGCATAGACATTAGGATATTATATGTGTTATTTTCAGTAAAAGCCATTTTCACAAACAGTTGGATATAGCCTGAATAAAATAATCCTAAGGTTAACTTCGAGTCAGCATATGAATAGTGCACGAGAAATTTACTTGGCATTGGTAGCTTTTAAAAATAATTTGTATAATAGGTTAGCTACTAATAAGGATTTTAGAAGGTTTCTTTTATGTGTTGTGATAAAACATTCTGCAAGTGGATATTGTGTAAATTTCTTTGCTTTAGTATCAAAGTTAGGTAACAACAACAACAAAAAGATCCTAAATAGGATTAGCAAGAAACACATTGAGGGTATTAAAATCATCTCAAATTGTTGAAGTGTACTTTAAAATTATTACCCTTTAGGTGTTTTCTCCAAAACACCAAAGGAAAAAAAATCCATGTTTTTGGCAATACTTCATGTTAATTAAGCATTTCCTTTCTATGTTATCATTGGTCATTTCAGAATTATATGATGCTAAGGATGAGGGTTTAGTTTCCATATCTTTGTCCATTTTTATATCCTGACTTCTAGGAAAAAAGACCTTGATAGTTAAGAGCTAAAATTTATCTCTTATATGGTATTAAATATATTTTTGCTATTAATGGTATCTTACATTCTCTATAAAATAAGAGCCAAATATTACAACATTAGCATAACAGGATTTTTTGGGGGGTACATTAATGATTTTTATACCATCTCCATTTTTCTGTAATTTATATCTGGAAAGAAAACTAAGTAATACAATCTTTATAGGAATCAAATAAATGCACTATAATGTACATTGTACATTTTGGTAAAGAGCACAATTGCCTAAAATAAATTAACTAAGATAAATACTGCAAACAAAAAATTTTTCGAAGGAAAATGCAATTATCCTTAGACTCTTGAAATTTACAAAAGTTTTAGAACAAAAATGCCTTGTATGTACATACTTAGGTATGTACAGAATAAGCCTAAATAACAAATATAGGATTAAAATGAAAATGCCAGACAAGTGGAATATTAAACAGAGTGTTGTCATCTTATTTTTGACTCTACTTAATAGAATATAGGACCTTAACATATAGCATGTTACTTTCAGAATAAAGGCAGCAAAATAAAGTATTACCAATAGGTGGAGTGGCCTTAGGATGTGCCAGAATAATTGTTATAACTATGTTATTACATTTTACTCCTCCACCAGAAATATTTTGTCAATATGCCCCAAAACTAGATACTTTAATGGATAGTTCAATCTTTATGAGACACGATAAAAAAAAAATTAAGATATAATTGGGTTATCATCTTTCTAACATTATAAGGAGGTTTTAATATATAATTCCTACTCTTTTCCAACAGAAGTGTAAACTAGCTTTAGGTTTTGGAGTAGATGTGAAATTAAAATAGTGAAAAAAAAATAAGACTCTTATCCTAATGTGCAATCAAATTTCAATAAATGCTAGAATATATTTACATATAGTCAATTTAAATGTTGCTTATTTATATAACTTTTAATTGTTTTATTAGTAATCTAGTCTTGGAATATAATGTTTTTAGAGAAGAAAGTTGGTATATACATTAAATGGGGAGCATTTAAAGAAGAGTTGGCATGGCCATTTTGATTTTAAGAAGGTCTACATATTGTTGCATTTTTTTAATTATAAAAAACTTTCAATTCTGCCAGAGTAGACCGTCATAACATCTTTGTATTTAAAAGGTGAAATATAATGTTATGGGTAAGTTTTCTTCAAAGTTACCACTTTGAAAGGCTAGAAACCTCACAAACTAAGACTTGAATGAAAGATAAAAGGGAATAATGATAGTGTTACAGTATTAAAGGAAGACATATTTACTGAATCTGGGATGATATACGCAGTGAATGCTTATACTTGCTAAGATGGTATAAAACCCGTATACTTTCGGTATGGATGACAAAAGAGGGCCAGAAATAGATACAGAGATATATTTAAGTATATTTAAGAGCAGTGTCTACTCCTGTCATAGTAACTGGTATAAAATAAATGGTCATAGTATGACAGGTTTCCAGATATATTTTATATATAAATTATCTTTAC